AATATTGAAAGATTCCACGGACAAAATATTGAATGATGCAGGAAACATCAAAAGAAGATGGAAGGAATACACAGAGTCACTGTACCAAAAAGAACTGGCCCATGTTCATCTATTTCAGGAGGTGGCATATAATCAAGAATCAGTGGTATTAAAAGACAAAATCAAAGCTGCACTGCAGGAAATGGTGAAAAACAAGGCTCCAGGAATTGAGAATTGAGAATCCAGAATTACCCACTGAGATGTTTCAATAAACAGATGCCACACTGGAGGCACACAGTTGGCTATACTAAGAAATCTGGAAGACAGTTACTTGGCCAAGTGACTGGAAGAAATCCATATTTGTACCCATTCTAAAGAGGGGTGATACCACAGAATGTGGAAATTACTGAACAGTATCATTAATATCACACTCAAGTAAAATCTTGCTGAAGATAATTGCGGTGTAGTGAATTACATGATAATGGCTCTTTCTTAGCCACAGTCTTTGTAATTCCCACCAAATTACTGGGTGGGACCATGCAGTTTAAATTCCTGATTGTTAAAGTCATCCAGCTGGGGTACTTCTGTTGGAGCAGCAGGAAGTAATCTTCTAAGAAAGTGCACTTTCTCTCATGTGTGTAGAACTCTGATGTTGAGACTGGTTTGTTTTGCCAATCTGCCAGGCTCAAGATGAGCCCTCTTAGAGGTAGAAGGAATCTGACTGCAGGCTGGAGAAATGTGCTGCTGAGAGAAACATGTTGCTGAGAGAGATATGCCTGGCTGAGAGAGAGATGCCCAGCTGAGAGAAACACCCAGCTTGAGACAGCAGCAGTGGAACCAAGAGGCATGAGACAGAGCGGCAGGCTTACCTGGCCTACAGAGGCCAGGCCAAGAGGCTGAGGCCAGAGAGGTGTGTCTAAGGGCACAGCAGAGGGGAGACTGTCCTGACCAAAGAACTATATCCTGAGCACGTTCCTGAATTTGAACTATAGCCTGTTGCTTCCCTAACAAACCCCATAATCTGAGTTCTATGTGGCCACTGCAGAGAATTACTGAACCCAGCAGAGAGGTGCAGGTTGCCGCAGGAGGGATGGTTTGTGTCAAGGTTGGTAAGAGGGCTGGAGGGTGGCGACATGTCTGGCCTCATAGGAACAAGCCTTGGGCTGCTGATGGTGATTCTGTCTTCCTCTTGTGAAGTTAGAGGAGGTCAGAAGATTCCACCTTCCCGCCCCCTTAGCAATAATTCAAAAATGGTTGCAGCAGTATATTGACAAAGAACTTCCAGAAATGCAAGCTGGATTCAGAAGAGGGCATGGAAGGAGGGACATCACTGCTGATGTCAGATGGATCTTGGCTGAAAGCAAAGAATACCAGAAAGATGTTTACTTGTGCTTTATTGACTTTGCAAAAGCATTCAATTGTGTGGATCATAACAAATCATGGATAACATTGAGAAGAATGGGAATTCCAGAACACTTCACTGTACTCAGGAGGAACCTGTACAGAACAAGAGATACTGCATGGTTTCAAATCAGGAAGGGAGTGCATCAGGGTTGTATCCTTTCACCATACTTATTCAATCTGTATGCTGAGCAAATAATCTGAGAAACTGGACTATATGAAGAACACGGCATCAGGACTGGAAGACTCATTAACCACCTGTGATATGCAGATGACACAACTTTGCTTGCTCAAAGTGAGGATGACTTGAAGCACTTACTGATGAAGATTAAAGACTACAGTCAGCAGTAAGGATTACATCACAACATAAAGAAAAGAAAAATCCTCACAACTGGACCAATAAGCAGCATCACAATAAATGGAGAAAAGATTGACATTGTCAAAGATTTCATATTACTTGGTTCCACAATCAACACCAATGGAAGCAGCAGTCAAGACAGCAGATGATGTTGCATTGGGCGAATCTGCTGCAAAAGACCTCTTTCAAATGCTGAAGAGCAAAGATATTTTTTTAAAGACTAGGGTGCGCCTAACCCAAGCCATGGTATTTTCAATAGCTTCATATGCATGTGAGAGCTGAACAATGAATAAGGAGGACAGAAGAGCTGATGCTTTTGAGTTGTGGTGTTGGTGAAGAATACTGCCAAAAGAACTAACAAGTCTGTCCTGGAAGAAGTGCAGCCAGAATGCTCCCTGGAAACAAGAATGGCCAGATTTCGTCTCATCTTCTTTGGTCATGTCGTCAGAAGGGACCATTCCTTGGAAAAGAATATAATGTTTGGTAAAGTGGAGGGTCAATGAAAAAGAGGAAGGCCCTCAACAAGATAGATTGATACAGTGACTGCAACGATGGGCAAGGATTGTGAGACTGGCACAGGACTGGGCAGTGTTTCGTTCTGTTGTACGTAGGGTTGCTATGGGTTGGAACATGCTCGATTGCACCTAACAACAACAGTTTTCTATCTGTTCAGTTTTTTTGCTTCATCATTTCCTCCATTTGCTTTAGCTACTCTCTGTTCAAGAGCAAATTTCAGAGTCTCTTCTGACATCCACTTTGGTGTTTTCCTTCTTTCCTATCTTTTTAGTGACCTTTTACTTTCTTCATGTATCATGTCCTTGATGTTATCCCACAACTCGTCTGGCCTTCAGTCAATGGTGTTCAATGCATCAAGTTCATTCTTCAGATACTCTCTAAGTTCAGGTGGGATATATGTATTCAAGGTCGTATTTTGCTCTCATGGACTGTTTTAATATTCTTCAGCTTCAACTTAAATGTGCATATGAGCAATTGTTGGTCTGTTCCACAGTCAGTCCCTCGCTTATTCTGACTGATGATACTGAGCTAAATATACAAAGGCATTAGACTATGTGCATGACAACAAATTATGGGTGACATTGCAAAGAATGAGAATTCCAGAATGTTTAATTGTGCTCATGTAGAACTTGTACACAGACCAAGAGGTAATCATTCAAGTAGAACGAAGGGATACTGAATGGTTTAAAATCAGGAAAGGTGTGTGTCAGGGTTGCATCTTTTCACCACACTTATTCAATCTGTATATTGAGAAAATAATCTGAGAAGCTGGACTATATGAAGAAGAACACAAAATCAGGATTGGAAGAAAACTCACTAAAAACCTGAGATATGCAGATGACATAACCTTGGCTTGCTGAAAGTGATGAAGACTTGAAACACTTACTGATAAAGATCAAAGACTATAGCCTTCAGTATGGATTACATCGCACAATTGCACCAAAAAGTAACATCATGATTAATGGAGAAAAGACTGAAGTTGTGAGGGATTTCATTTTACTTAGATCCACAATCAACATCCATGGAAGCAGCCGTCAAGAAATCAGACATTGTATTGCATTGGGAAAATCTACTGCAAACGACCTTTTTAAAGTGTTAAGAAGCAAAGATGTCACTTTGAAGACTAGGGTGCACCTGACCCAAGCCATGGTATTTTCAACAGCTTCATACACATGTGAAAGTTGGACAATTAATAATTTAAGACTGAAGAAGAATTGATGCATTTGAATTGTGGTGTTGGCTAAGAATACTGAAAATACCATGCACTGCTAGAAGAATGAACACATGTCTTGGAAGAAGTGCAGCCAGAATGCTCTCCTTAGAAACAGGAATGGCCAGACTTCATCTCTTGTACTTTGGTCATGTTGTCAGAAGGGACTAATCCCTGGAGAAGGACATCATGCTTGGTAAAGTAGAAGGTCAGCATAAAAGGGATGAATTGACACAGTGGCTACAATGATGGACTCAAGCATAGCAATGATTGTGAGAATGGCACAGGACCAAGTAGTATTTTGTTCTGTTGTATACAGGGTTGCTATGAGTCAGAACCAACTCAGTGGCAACTAACAACAACAGTTTTATATACACAGTAAAATCTCTACTTCACAATCTTCCCTAAACTTTCTCTTCTCTGGACTAAGTATCTTTCTTCCTTTGATTGCTTCTCATTGTGCATAGTTTTAAGTCTCCCCATCATGTATCCTAGTCCTAGCTGAGTACCTCTGCATGTGCCTCGTATCATTCCTTTGTATCCTATCTCTCACAATCCTCTCAACCTCCCCAGTCATTTTAGAAGCTAAAGAGGAGAGTAGTCAAGTAATTAGCCTTAAATATTCATACTGCTAGTTTATATTAAGTAGAACTAGGATTAAAGCTTGTTTCCAACTCCCTAACCCAGTGATTCTCAAATGAGTCACTGTGGTTCATTCTGTGTTCATAGAAATAAATTGGAGAGCTTATTAAAATACAGATTGTTGAGTCTCAGCCCCAGCTTCTAATTCAGTAAGTCTAGGATGCGGGTCTGAAAATGTGTATTTCCAGCAAGTTCCCTGTTGTTGTGTCGTTGTTGTTATGTGCCACCAAGTCAATCTCTGACTCATAGTGTTCCCATGTGACAGAGTAGAACTGTCCCAAAAGGTCCGCTTGGCTATAAACTTTATTGAAGCAGCTTGCCAGGTTTTTCCCCTGCAGAGCTGCTGAGTGTGTCTGAAACATCTACCTTATGATAAATGTTGCTGGTTCAGAGACCACACATTGAGAACCACTACACTAGGTCAATGATTCTCAAATTCAGCATGAATGAGAATCATCTGGTAAAGTCATTAATTCTGAAGATTCGATAGCCTCTCCTCCTCCAAAGCAGTGTAGAGAATCTCAAGAGGAGCTCAGGAATCTGTATATTTAATATACAGCTCAGGCGATTCTGATGTGGGTGATGTTGGCTGTGAGATATGCCACTTGACATTTCTAAATGTAACTGTGTACAAAGATCCTAGCACTTTAGGGAAATACCGTTTATTTTGCTCCAGGGGCTAGATCTTTTGATCCTTACAGTGGTTTAGATATAAAACATCATTCTGATGGTAGAATTGCTAAGGGGCCAGATTTAATTGACCCCTTAAGAAGCCTAACAAGAACGATTATCTCTTTAGAATGGTTTTGAATACTCCTGATAAAGGTTGGTAAGAAGTATTACATGACATAGGTCTGGTATATACATATTAATAAAGACCAAAGTTACCCTTACTTTTGCTTTATGAAGGTCAACTCCATACATAGACAATTTTTTGGCATTCTCAAGAAATTCCAAGTCAGCTTGAGCTGGAGTCATGGACCTTTAAGAGAATAAAAACAATAAATTCTTTCAGTGTTACAGTGTTAACATTTATGGTAATAACATTAGTATGTTCACTGTACTTAATAAAAACACCCAAACATATACATACCTATATGTAAGATATGTTCCATAGTCTTACTACTCATATTACCTGTACCTAAATAACTGAAATATATCTTAGAAAAGGAGATCTTGGTGAAACAAAAGTCACCAAAGAGCTATCTGGAAAAAAATACCATATTTAAAAAAAATCCTATTAAACAATTTCCTTAAAGCTGTCTCCTTCCTCTTCCATCAGTTCTGCCCTTCCTCTTCTCAGCCTGTTCCTCCTACACACATAAACCCCTCCCACTAATTTTTCTAGCCAAAGAGGTGACCAAATTAAATCCTTTGAGGGCATGGAGCAATTTACAGTATCCTCTTAGCTGTGTCTCTCTCTCCATAACCCTGAATTGAGTTATTATGGAAATTAAACAGGGGGGGGCAGCTGAAGTTACTTAACTGGGGTCTCTTAATGGGGGCAGGCTTGATGAAAAGAAAATTTCTGGTAACAGATGGTGTCCTGCCCACTGATCTAAACAAAACAATTTGGTTAATAGAAGCATGCATATAATTGGGTTGCTTTCTCTGTTACTAAGATGTCTTCATTACCAGGCACATAATGAATTAGATTTGTTTGAAAACAATCAGTCTCAATGTCTAAACATTCACTTTTTCTTTCCCCCACTATTTTTCCTTCTTTTTTATAAAAGTTCCTCTTTTTTATAAGGTGTTCTCGAGCTGTTAACAGGGGGATTACCCAACAAGCAAGGTAAGCACAGGCTCACTTGCACCTACTTACTAATCTGTTGTGAACAGTTTCACATGTACTCACTGATTAGTAAATATGTGCAAGTAAGCCTGTGCTCACCTTGCTTATTGGAGAATCTAACACTGGTGTTAAGATGAGCTTTCAAGATGAAGACACCACTTAAGAGTGCAGCACAATTCAGACCAACTAAATATAAATAACTTCATAGTAACAATAATGCAGTTACATCCTCAAAGAAAAACCATATAAACGTCTGTTTCCCATAGGACTATCTCAAACTCTATGAAGCAGCAGTGCCCTTTCATTTAACAAGGAAAAGTCACTCCCAAGCCCATCTGTCTTCACCCTCATTAAAAAGAACAAAGGGTTTCTTGGGACAAAAAAAAAAAATCAGGAGAAAGGCTGCAGATTTGATAATGACTCAACATTTCTCAATAAACTCTTTCACAATCTCTAAAGCATCAAACCTTAACTTCATTCACTAATGGACTTGGAACTGAAGACGGAAAAGAGGATGGGAAAATTAAGCGATATGGAAGTCTGTAAATTTAATCATTAAAAATATGTCAGGAAAGTTTTATTGTTGTTGCTGTTTTGCATATAAATTGTATACTATTCTAGTTAAAGTTACTCCCAGCTATTTTACGGTTTTTGCTAGTATTATCAGTGGGAAGAATTTTAGAATTTTGAAGTTGGAATGGAAATTAAAGATTATAAAGTCCAGCACTTTTATTCTGCTGGTAAAGAAGCTGTGGCCCTGAAAGATCACATGGTCATTGGCAGGTTATGATTCCTAGTTTGAGGCAGCAGTCAAATCAGGACTCAAATCCCATCACTCAGGCTGGAACCCTGGTTCCTAGACTTGAAGAGTGGTGATCTTCAATTTCTTACCTATAAAGTAAGAATCATAATAACACTGACTTCCAAAGACTAGGATAGGCAATATCTTTTTTGTCTTTGTCTTTGCTAAATGAAGGAATATGACGATTAGGATCAAATGAGATAATTGTTATAAAATTCCTTTGTAAATAATAAATATTTATTATTATCAAGACCTTCATTTTCTGATACTCCAGTGGTCCCTCTACACATAGCTCATACAAGAAAGAGAAACTAATTTGGATAACTTGATTTGGAAAACAAATTTTAAAACAGTAAATGAAGCAATTATGAAAAAATTTTCCCTATACTCATTTCTCCAGCCCCCTAGTATTGTCAAAGAAACAAAAGGGGCATTAGTGGGTCAATCTGAATACAAATTTTAACTTCAAACTATATAAGTTAAACACTTCTATAAATAAGCATGCTCTAAAAGTGTATTAATGGCTTTTTCTTTCTCACAGCTGTCAAGTCGATTCGATTCATAGTAACCCTTCCTTGGGTTTCCCAGGCGGTATCTCTATGGAAGGAGCTCTTGTGGTATAGTGCCTAAGGCATTTGACTACTAACCAGAATGCCGGTGGTTCAAACCCACCAGCCACTCCTTGGAAGGAAGATTGGGCGATCTACGTCTGCAGTGATACCGCCTTGGAAACCCAAAGAGGGGTCGCTATGAGTCGGATCCAACTTGACAGCAGTGAGTTTTTTTTCAAATCTCTGTTAGTAGATTTTACAAACTTCCTTCCTAACAGTGGATGGTGGGTTTGAACCACCAGCCTTCTGGTTAGCAGTCAGATGCCTTAGGCATTACGCCATCAGAGCTCGCGTATTAATGGCAGGTGGTAAGAAAAGATCTTGAATTTTTTTGAAATCTTTAATTTTAAAGCTATGGCTTTCTTTGTTAGTTGAAAATATTATTTATACCTGAAGATTGGCTGATGCTTGCATTTTTAAAATTTTATGTACAGTAAAACCTGTGAGAGCTAGAACCTGTGTAAGCAGAAACCTGTCAGAGAAAGAAAATGCAAATATTTTCCTCAAATAGAGAACTACAGAAAAGTGGTAAGACTGTATCCTGTCAAAGGAGGAAAACTACCAAGACCTGGGAAAGCAAGACAGTCCTGTTGAGTTTTAGCTCGCTCATTGTAACTTAAAAATTTTGGAAAGACCCTTCAATTTAAAAGTTATGTATGATACAAATAATTTTTCCCAAACCATTTAAGAGTAAATTCCCTCTCAATACCCCTGTATGGAGGTTATATAGGAAACCATCAAAACCAGGAAATTAATATTGATACATTTTGTTGTTAGGGGCCATTTGAGTCAGCTCTAACTCATAGTGAACCCTGTGTAACAGAAGAAACATTGCCCGGTCCTGCACCATCCTTAACTGATTAATTGCTACATCACTGCTATCTAATTCCTCAGACTCCATTCAAGTCTAGTCAATTGTCCCCAAAATTCTTTATAGCAAAAGAATCCAGTTTAGCATTATAAGCTGCATTTAGTTCATGTCTCTTTAGTCTACTTCAATCTGAAACAGGTTCTTCATTTTTTACTTTCATGACCTTTACCTTTTGAAGATTATAGGCCAGTGTGTATTCTATAGAATATCCCTCAATATGGGCCTACCTGAAGTTTCCCCATGAACTGATTCAGTTTATGTCTCTTTGACAGGAAAATCACAGAAGCAGTCCTGTGTTCTCACTGCATCCTATCAGATAATGTATGATTTCAATTTGTCCCATCACTGATTCATGTTCACTTTGATCACTGATGTTTACCAGACGTCTCTGTAAACTTACTCTTTGAAATTAATAAGAATTCTGTGATAATGTATTTTGAAACCTCCAAGTATCCTATTTCTTATCAAACTTTCAATTTATTTACTTATTTATGCCAGTATGAGCTCATGAATTTGCATTTTATTCAATATATGTTGTTGTTGTTGTTGTTGTTATGTGCCATTGAGTCGGCCCCGACTCATAGCGACCCCTCCTTGGGTTTCCGAAGCAGTATCACTACGGAAGTAGATTGCCCCATCTTCCATCTGAGGAGTGGCTGGTGGGTTTGAACTGCCAGCCTTCTGGTTAGCAGGCAACTGCCTTAGGCACTATGCGACCAGAGCTCCTTCAATATGATATAATAAATTATTTTCCTTATTTATTTTAAAGCTGAAATTGTCCCAGATTTGTGGAAACTTCTCCACGATGGATTCTGTGCCTTTTGACAATTTCCCGTCATTCTTTGAGCACCTCATTGCCTTCTGGCACAAGATGGTCTCGGATCATCTGTATGTTCCTATTCTCAGTCCTAGAATCAGATATTTCTTCAAGAAGCTCTGGTTTCTTTTAGTGGAGAATGAAATTGAGAACCTAAAATAAGGGCATGCTCATTGCTATTGAGTACTGCTGTTTCCAGGTCTTGTCAATGTACAATGTACTGTTAGGGGACACACACACATACAAAGACCCCTAACATCTATATCTATCTCTTTATCTCTCTCTCTCTCATCTCTGGTGGTGCAGTGGTTACGTGCTTGGCTGCTAACCAAAAGGTTGGTGGTTCAAACCCACCAGCCACTCTGTGGGAGAAAGATGTGGCAGTCTGCTCCCGTAAAGATTTAAGACTTGGAAACCCTATGGAGCAGTTCTACTCGGTCCTATAGGGTTGCTATGAGTCCAAATTGACTCAACGCAATAGAGTTTTGAGGTTTATTTATCTAATCTACCTACTTACTTACCTATCTACTGGAAACAATGAACATTGAAACTTCCCATTTTAATCCAACATGACAGGGTTCATTTTCATTCCTCCCTTTCCCTATTGGTATCTCCCTTTATTGACAGCAAGAAACCTGGCTTCCATTATCCTTAATACATGGATTAACTTGACCAAATCCCCCTGTATATAACCAATTTCTCATGATAGTCACTGAGCCCTCTCCCATGTGACTGTCCTTCTCATCCCACTTTTATTCTAACCCTTTTGTCAGAGCACCCCTCTACACGAATGCCCTCCTCATCCTGCTAGGACTCTGAATCCCCCACAGTGGGTTGCTGCCCAACACATGAATACCCTCCTTACCTCACTCAGGTTCTGACTGTCCGTGTTAGGCCACTCTTCCATGGACATCTTCTTTACTCTGCTCAGGATTTGAAATCCTGCATCAGGTGCCATCCACATATAGATGCCCTCCATACTCCACCCAGGACCTATCTCCACATGGATCAGATGCCCTTTTCATTATACTTGGCCTCTCATACCTGCCACCAGATGCCCTACAAATATATACTTTATCTTCATTC